TATTTTGCTGACGAAGCTATTATAATAATTTTTGCAAAATTTGAAGATGCTATCAGAAAAAACTGAGCTTTCTGGAGAAATCTATTTTTTTAGACAATGTATAATCATCAGTGTGTGCGAGAATTGTTGTAAAAAATTGAGCATAGAAAAAAGAAACCCGTAGAAATATTTAATGAAACATTGTGATATAGTAATTTATTCGAAAACAGCTGTTACTTATACTAGATTTGTTTTGAAATCATCTCCTTTAACCACAGGATTTAAGAAATTTTTTTTCCGTTGCGCATAAATGAACAATGCAGCCAGTCGCAGCTGTTCGTCTAGACCTAAACTATTATATAAACGGCAGCAGGAACAATTTTACACAGAAGTCATTTTAGAAATCTATTCATTTTTTTGAATTTTTAAAATGCGATGCACGGTATTTTTTAAAGATAATTTTATAGATATTTTTTATTCGAGCAAATTATCTTTGAATTTGGTTTTATACTTTATTTTAAACGAATTTCTGAAGGACGTTTTTAAATTTTACAGGGTATGTTGCAATAGCATATGCTTACTTAAGAGAGGATAATAACTCTCAAGAACGAATAGCTTTAAGAAAATGAATTTCAGCATTCTTCAAATACTCTTGTTACGTCTGACATATATTTTACCGTTGATGTATTTTTAACAGATTGAAAATTCCATTCAATAGTTATAAATTTTTCTTTTGAAACTCATCATTCGACGGAAGATTTGGTTACCGACTGCGTCCCTAAGAGTGAAAGAATGTTCTACATAAGAGTGAAAAGATGTTACACAGAGGCTGTTCACACATTTTTTTGACAATGTATATTGTATTCACAAAACTAAATTACATAAAATTCTTGTGTTTTAAATGTTCTATTTGACATCCCTTATTCTGAACTATCTTCGACACCGCAATTTCCAGGATAATAATGCCTTTGAAGTGGCAGAAGAGGTATTCTATCCATTCTCCCGAACAGCTTTCCAGAGTTCTGTTAGGGTTTGGACAACTTTGGATAATGCAGTTTTTTTAAAACTCCGAAAGCACTAAAATCATAGGGACACATCGGGAGGATTAGTACGAATATCAGAAGGGTATGGCCTTGATACCAGTTTTTGTTCCATTTCTTTTAGGAAGTTACAGTGGATTTTGATGTGTGATGCTAGCTTTGTTCTGATTGAATCTCACAATGGATGTCATGTGGGTAAAGCGGGTGGTATTGCATTCAGAAAAATTGGCGATTTTTTTTTTTCATCTCTTTATTTTAACTTGCCTTATAAGAAAAAACCAGCAACCATCATGAATCTCTTAGAAAACTTTCTTTCGATTCTTTGAACCATGTACTTAATTTTTTCTCCCCTTTTATGATAATAAAACGGCTCTTTTGTTGTTACAATCATTTAACACCCATGCTTCATCTATTGGACAATTGTTCCATTTTCTTTGGATAACTGTTTCTCATATAGAATTCTGCAGGTGTCCTGTTGAGCGATATGCTTTGGAAGAAGACGATGACATTGCGTTTTTCCCTTTCTAAGATTTAAATCAACGTTTATCATTTTGTTTACAGTGGTACACCGAGCATTTTAATGGTTTTGCAACTGTCCTTTGACTAGGGGGATTTTCTTTTAACTTAAACAACGTACTTTACAATAGCCGAAGATGCCGTTTATTCTTGGATACTTGTGGCAGTTTTGTCCACTTGAGGATTTGCAAATGCAATTTGACGTTGTCCGTTCTTGTGAGATATACCTATCCACGCTTTAGATATCACAAAACCATGACTCTCACATCGTTTTGGATAACGGAGTATGCTATTTCTCTTCGGAAAGAGCGCAATGTAGCCTTAGAACCACGCTTTTTAAAAGCATTTTGAATAAAACAAATTTCAGCACAGACGATAATTTTGACTTTTAAAACATAGACAATTGCAATTACTTCTTTGCAACAAACGAATTTTTAGTACTGCTACCGAATCGTCTAAAAATGCGCGAACAGCCTCTGTAGTTATAACTAGGTGAAAAAATTCAGTTTAATGTGCAGAAGCTTAAAAAATTAAGTTGCAGAGACATTAGGTATTATTTTGGAAGCAGGCAAGATGAAAAATGAGCAATCGCCTTCGCCAGGAATCGAACCACGGACCTCTGGAATACCGGCCCAGCGTGCAGAACCACTACACCACGAAAGCAAGCTAGGAAGGCGGGAGAAATATCTTATATACTCCCCCTTTTAAAGGACGACTGGGGATTTTAGGGAACCCAATCGCCAAATTCTGGATGGGGAGAATCATCACCCACCACCTTTCTAGTTCGGGCACCACTGTAGAGACATTAGGTATTTTTTTGGAAGCAGGTAATATGAAAAATGAACAATCGCCTTCTCCGCGAATCGAACCACGCACCTCTGGAATACCGGCCGAGCGTGCAGAACCACTACACCACGAAGGCACGCAAGGAAGGCGGGAGAAATATCTTATAAACTATAGTGAAAATTTCGATTATCAAAATGAATGTTTAATGTCAGCACGTGAGTTTGATTGTTCTTTTTACAATTAAGCCTATTATTCTTGTAAAACCCACCCTGTAAACTTGTAGCCAGTGTAAAAAATCTCTGAACAGTGGTATTCGATCCGGGCTCCAATCCCGGTGAACATGGGAGTTTACGCAGTTTTCCCTATGTATAGCAGTTTTAAATAAAATGTTTTCTGCAAAAAGAATTCCTCCGTCCAGACAGATAGTAATATATTTAACGTTATTCAAATAATCCAGTCCAATCGTTCTTCTATCAGCAAGAACATATGAACGCGTTTCAAAACCGCAAACTTGATTGTGCTCTGGGATTTCGCCTGTTTGGTCCAGATGTGTTTGCGGTCGTTTAATGTTTCAAAAACAAATGTCGACATACCTTATCCTGGTTTATTTTTGGCTAAGAATAACCATAGGCTGTCTCTTCATTCCAACATTCTTCGTACCATACCGCAAATTACTCTATTTGGAAATGATTATTCTGTGCTCTTCTTTTAGAACTTTAGAAGACTCACGTTTTATATACCACTGTAACGAGGTATCTGAAGCCCCTTTTTGAGATCCATCTGTTTATCATTTTGCATTAGATATCTTCGATTCGAATTTTCCCGAAACGTCAGTTGCCGTTACCAATTTAAGTTTGAAAAATGGGAAGTAGTGTATAGACTCAGTTCTTTCTCATAACATTATTCATAGAGAGAATCTTACAAAATGCTTCAAAACTCGCCGTCCAGATGGGAAACTGGTTAGAGACTTTGCCGTACCGAAGGGGCCAAGTTCGAAGCTTGAAGAAGGCATGGATGTAATTTTTCCGTTTCTCCACGGCAATCTTTTAGGTACCACCAGATCCGGCCGTGGAAGTGGCCAACGCTTATAAATGGCTAAATTCCGCCACTGGGGAGGGGGGGGAGAGAAAAGCTTCAAAAGTGTTTTTCCCCCCTGTAATCATTTCTGAAGCTTTTAAAACTTATTTTATAAACTTACAAAATCTAAGCATCTGCATTTCAGTCCTATAAATGGGTTAGGGTGGAGAAAAAAAAAGGAAAGTGGAATTTCTGTAAACATTTCTTCCCGTAAGAACGTCTTCTGTTTTCTCAAATCTACATATATCTATTCTATTTCATTTGAATGTTTTTATTAATATAATATACTACTCCTAGGCTAAGTAATGCCATAATTAATTTAGATAATAATAAAATCCCGGGGACTTAGTTGCCTTTTTTGTAGTTAAGTATGCATTCACTGTAATGCCAGCGATTAAAATACTGCAAAAAATGTAAAGCCTAAGATAACTCAAAGTATTACATTTTTTCGTTACTAAATTATATTTATTTTAAATTTTTTGCATTGATTATCTGATAAATTTATTTGCAGCTATTACCAAGCTGTTCTTATGCCTTCGAAAAAAATTACATATTTGTTTTATTTTATTTATTTATTTGTTTATTTTTTTACGATTTAGTATTTCATTTTTTACGATTTTTTTTATTTAGTATTTGAATTTTTTTTGTTACGATTTAGATTTTTTTTTTTTTATTTCGGGGGGGATTTAGTTTTTTAACTTTTTTTACGACTTAGTATTTTAATTTTTTTTACGATTTAGTATTTTAATATTTTTAAAGTATCGAACATAACGTTCACAGCTACCGAAGGATGCTATTCTCACTGAAAAGATTTGAAGATGATATCTCCCAAATTCTGAAACAGAATTAAAAATTTCACTTAGGAAGAAAACTTATCAGTTTCATTGTTCCTTATACTTTTAAATGAATGCTAAAAGAAAATCCATAAAATTCTTTTATAGATTTGCATAGTAAAAGTACATACTTGCTTATTTTCTGTTTAGCATAATGATTCTCTGTAATCAGAGGCCTTTAGCTGTGATTCGTTAAAAGAAATACGAGATCAATATAAGTAGGGAAGGAATATAAGCAAAAGTAATACGAATATATTTTGTGAAATGACTTTTTCACATTTGAAACTTTTTATTACAGATATATTTCCCTAATAAGTTAAAATTACGTAAATAATCTGAAAGACAGTGGTAAGTATTTTTAGTATTTTTTATTTGTGGAAACTGAGGTTGTAGAGACATAAGGTTATTTCGAAGCAGGAAAGATGAAAATTGAGCAATGCCCTCGCCAGGACTCGAATCACGGACCTCTCGAATATGCGTCGAGTGTGCCGACCACTACACCACGAAGGCTTGCTAAGAAGGTGGGAGAAATACCGTATATACTTCCCCTTTTAAAGAGCGACTGGCGTTTTAGGGGTATTGTAACTTATGATCTTTTTTCTTATTCTTATTATTTACATTTTAACAACATCGATAAGTGAAATTTTGCTTACCCTTCTTAATAAATATCCACAGGAACGCTTGGAATTCCTTTTCAATTTTATCACACAGAAGCTTTATTTACATCTATGTACAAGAACTGTATGCTTACATTAGAACATTCATCATGTTTTTTTTTTTTTTTTTTTTTCCAGTACTTATTCAGGACTTTAATTAATTACATATAACTCTTACATTAATCAAGTCCTCTTAATTCTCGCTGCATATCAACCCAAACATCAAAAGGCCCATGGTTGTTATAATAGTGACAATAACATCCATCTGGCTTCAGACGACCATCTGCTCGCATTGCTTCATATTCTTCTTTATCCCACTTTGTAAAACCCCACTTTTTTGAAACAGCAATTTTCTGACGGCCTGGAAATTTAAATTTTGCACGACGAAGGGCTTCAATAACATGTTCCTTATGTTGATCCTTAGCTCTTACAGACATAATCATTTGTCCTATATCTACACGAGCAACTGTTCCTTGAGGTTTCCCAAAAGCTCCTCTCATACCTGTTTGAAGCCTATCCGCTCCAGCACACGACAACATTTTGTTGATTCGAATTACATGAAAAGGATGCAATCGCATTCTTAAATGAAATGAATCTTTTCCACACATCTTTACTAAATATTAATTTGCACAGAAGGGTATCCAATCGACAAATCCTGGTAGTGAAGAATCATCATTCACCATCTTTTAGTTCGGGTGCCACTGCAGATTCATTGTAATTTTTGAAGCAGGAGAGATGAAAAATGAACAACGCCTTCGCCGGGACTCGAACCACGGGCCTCTCGAATACGCGTCGAGGTGCTGACCACTACACCACGAAGGCATGCTAAGAAGGCGGGAGGAATACCTTATAAGGTTACGTTAGACTTTTGACCTTGACAGAAGACAAAATGTAAAAAGCATTGCAGAAATTCATAACTGTAGTGAGGTTTTTATTATTTTGAATAAACTGTTATTTTATGATTTAGACATTTACTGTAACTTCTTCCTTCCGTTTCCCTACCAGAATACAAATTAGTGTAAGAGTATTTAAGCCAAAGTTGTTTGATTGTAAAACACAGCTTGAGACGACTGGAGAGTTAAATCATTTGTGTAGCCTTTGACTACTAGTTTTAGACTACTATTAAATTTGAATTTACCGTTACAGCGATTGAAATAGCCATTCTCAAAAATCTCAACGAATTTACCATAAAATCTGACTTCCAAGCAGCTATTTTAGCCATTGAAAATCCCTTACATTCTTCTCCATTGATTTTCGATATAAATTCTGTTTTTGCCTTAATTCCGAATAACAAATTCACATTTCATGGATCAAAGGGCATAGTGCCCATTTTGGTAATGATCGGACAGATGAACTAGTCACAAATAACAGCCCTTCCATGGCCTCGTTTAAATCTCAAGTAACAAAGTTGCTTCAAAATATTGGCAAGATTTGTGGAATAATTCTTCACAGGGAAGACGCACATATAGTGAAACTTGATCCTCAATGTAAGCTTCGCATCTCTATACTCGAATCCTTCATTAGGCTACTAACTAACAGGACATGGAACCTTCCCCACACATTTCTACGCAAGAAATTGGCCAACTTCAACATCTGTATATATCGGGAACAGGGAACTCCTGATGATTACACATTCTCGTGCCCCTTAACTGAGGAAAATCGCATAAAATTCCCACTAACTGATCTCCTGGTATTCCAAAGGTTTGTTATTAAAGATAAATATTAGCATCCGAAGTTTCAAAAAATTATGCAACGATTCTCTTTCTACAGCCTAGATCTTTGTCAAGTACATGTTCTCATGTTGAATAAATTTAATGAACGCTTACATCCTGTGGATATTTTCAAACGGATTCCACTTGTGAAACTTTATAAATTGTAACAACCTTAACTGTAATACCCCCTGGAATACCTCTTTGTTATTATTATTACAGTTCATTATAACATTGTATTCCCAGTATTCATTATATTTACCTGTTACTTATTACGTTTATTTGTTGTTTTTATTACATCCAAACAGATGTTCTGTTTAATTAGTGAGTTTCAACTTGTATTCAAACTATACTGTATAATTACTATAATCGTTTTATGTCCTAAATCATTATTTTTATTGAATACTGGATGCAGGATGTACGGTGGGATTCCACGATGTACCTTACCAAGTTAACTTTAGCTCCTTTGGAAAGCTTCATTTGCTCATTTTCTCAATATTTCTTTTCAAATTCTTATAAAGCTTGCAATTGTTTTCGAGTTAGTTAGCATGGGAGGGCATTACCAGTTGATCCATGGTACATTCCTGTTGTCCCCCATACGTTCTTTTTGTAGCATCGTCGCAAGTGGCTGGCTGATTTGTAAACACGATGCGTGCATTTATGTTCTAGTTTTGATTTAATAAAAAGGTTCGTTTTAAAACCTTCTTGAGACTTCGAGATTTTTAAGTTTTTTTCAAACGAAGCGATCATTCGCTCCAAGTCTGTTAGGGCATGGCAGCTTATGCTGCCCAAAACGTATCAAACTCTATACTGTATATAGTATGTTACCATGAAAGACCGAAATTGGAGAATATCGACTTTCACCGGAGAATGTCAACATTCACCAAATACGTCGGTGAAAGATTGAATATTGCACTACATTCTTGTACTATATTCGGGCCCTCATCGGTGTATGTCGACAATCACAGATATGCTCTGGTGAAAGTCGAAAAGAGAGGTTATAAAGTGCCATAATAGTTTAAGTTGTTGCAATAAAGAAGATTTGAATCGCATAATTTAGTAAATTTTTTATGACTGTTATTTTATTTTCTCATTTAGAACGTAATTAAGTAAGTTTTTAAGGGAACTCATACACCTTAAACCCCTCATGATCTTCGAATATGTGACTGTTGCAAGAATTGAGGTATTTTATTTACTTTAAAAGCAATTACTTCCAACTTTTTACAGCCGACTACATAATATAGCTGCTTTGGAAAATAGTAACCAGAAAGTTTGTGTTGCCACAAATATTTTTGTAATTTAATCCTCTTTGCGATAAAATATTTTGCCATGTTTCCGCCCTGCGCGCATGATATTTTAAAAATGGCTAACGGTACATACTTGAAATTCGATGGAAGTCTTTATAAGGGCACTATTTTCACTGAACCAACAATCTGATGAATATTTAATTTGAAAGGTTATGGACGAAAACATTAAAAATGTTGTTAATAAAATACATTTTATAAATAAACTCAAAAAAATAAAAATTTAACATGAAATTTTTATAATTTTAGGTTCACAGTCGTTTCCTATGTTATAAAAGATATATTAAATATGGAATTAAATTATGAAACAATGTTTTAAACTGTGCGCGCAAGTTAGAAACATGAAGAAAAATGTTGTCACAAAGCGGATTATATGAAATATTTGTGAAAACACAAACTTTCTGATAACTATTCAGAAAGCAGCTATATTATGTAGTCAGCTGTAAACGTGGTAGTAATTGCTTTTAAAATAAATAAGTTATCCCAATTTTTGCAACAGTAACCTATTCGAACATCTTATGGGTTTTAAGGTGTACGAGTCCCCTTAACTTCTATTATTTTCCTTTTTGATTTTGAATGTGCTGTGTGCTTTAAGTTCTTATGTTCTTAAGTTCTTATTTTAAGTTTCAAGTGCGTGTTTTCGCGACTGAATGACGGAGAAGAAAATATAATATTGTTATATGTTTAACATTCACCATTAGTACATGGTGAATGTCGACATTGACCGGTGTAAGTCAGAAATAAGAGTATTTGGAAAACACCAAGAGACACTGTAAATGGTGACATTCACCGGTGAAAGTCGACATTCTCCAGATTTCGGTGTTTCACCGTAACATATACACTTCCAAAAATCAGAATCTTCCAAAATGATAAGAGTTTTTTAATTTTAACAAGAGAAAATTCGCTGACGCAGAAATCAATTACAAAGTCTTTACATATACACTGAAGTGACAAACGTCATGGGATAGTAATATGCAAATATACAGATGGCAGTAGTATCGCGTAGAAAATGTATAAATGCGAAGTACTTTGGCAGGACTTTCATTTGTGTTCAAGTTATTCATGTGAAGAGGCTTTGACGTGATTATGGCCTCACGACGAAAATTAACAGACTTTGAACGCGGAATGGTAGTTGGAGCTAGACGCATGGGTCATTCCATTTCGGATATCGTTAGGGAATTCAACATTCCGAGATCCACAGTGTTAAGATTGTGCCGAGAGTATTAATTTCAGGCATAACATCCCACCATGGACAGCGCAATGGCCGACCACCTGCACTTAACGACCGAGACCAGCGACGTCTGCGTAGAGTTGTCAACGTTCACATACAAGCAACACTGCGTCAAATAACCGCAGAAATCAATGTGGGACGTACGAGGGACGTGTCCGATAGGACAGTGCGGCGAAATTTGTCTTCCTTGGGCTATGCCAGCAGAAGACCGGCTCGAGTGCCTTTACTGACAGCACGACATCGCCTGCAGCGACTCTCGTGGGCTCGTGAGCATATCGGTTGGTCCCTAAACGAACGGAAAACCGTGGCGTGGTCAGATGAGTCACGATTTCAGTTGGTAAGAGCTAATGGTAGGGTTCGAGTTTGGCGCAGACCCCACGAAACCATGGACCCAAGTTTTCAACAAGACACTGTTCAAGCTGGTGGTGGTTCCATAATGGTCTGGCTGTTTTTACATGGCATGGACTCGGTTCTATGGTGCAACTGAACCGATCATTGACTGGAAATGGATACCTTCAGCTATTTGGAGATCACTTACAGCCATTCATGGACTTCACGTACTCAAACAACGATGGGATTTTTATGGATGACAATGCGCCATGTCACCGGGCCACAATTGTTCGCGATTGGTTAGAAGAACATTCTGGACAATTCCACCGAACGATCTGGCTACCTAGATCTCCCGACATGAATCCCATCGAAAATTTATGGGACATCATCGAGAGGTCAGTTCGTGCCCAAAACCCTGCACCGTCAACACTTTCACAGTTATGGACGTCTATAGAGGCAGCATGGCTCAATATTCCTTCAGGGGACTTCCAACGACTTGTTGAGTCCATGCCACATCGAGTTGCTGCACTTCGCAGGGCAAAAGGAGACCGACAAAATATTAGGAGGTATCCCATGACTTTTGTCACTTCAGTGTATATGTATTTACAATAAATAAAATAACACACAATGATTTATAGCTTAAAGGCTAAATAACATAATATTCATCAACTTTTGCGAGGCACGTGGCCCAATGTATAACAATTTATAGAACCTCGTATGAAATTTAGTTAGTAGGAGATAAATTGGAAACACATTGTCACCCTTCTTGAAGCTTAATCTTACATAAATGGCTGCAATTGAAAGAGGCCTAAAGAGGAAAACGAAGCGGGGGGGGGGAAATGTACAGACCTGTTAATCCAAAGAAAGTTTCAGTTCGGGTTATTATGATTGTCACAAGATTTTCTTAGAATCAGAAATTAAAAATAAGAAAAGTGGGGGAAAAAGTTAAAATCAACTCAAAGTACTATGAACAGAAAGTTTTACTTCCGATATTTACAGAAGAAATTCCATTTCCTTATTCCATTGACTTACAAGGAGCGACACTTCATCAAGACAAAGCAACAAGTCATACTTCGAAAAGTACCACTGCAATCCTTAAAAAAATGAAGACTGACGTAGGTATTGCATATTAACCAGTTAAACATATTCCTACAAATACTCTGACGTTTTACGTGTTTCATTACTGTGTCTTTGATTTCATGAAAAGAGCTCTTTCTAATCGCAAACCCACCATCACTGATGGACTCTGAGAAGTATTGGGACAGGTATGCAAATCTATACGTCTGGAAATTTTACTAAAAGACCTTCTATCATGAAAATCCCGCTGCAGTCTTATAGCCTAGAAAAAAAGTTATTATATAGAATTTTTTAAAATATTGTTTATATTTTAAATATTAATTAACTCGCCCCAAAATTGTTCTGAAAATGTGTAAATAAACTTTGTACATTAGAGTTTTAAATTATATATACGCGACAGAAAACAGAGAACAAGAATTCCTCGCACTGTAATCAATTGGGGAATTTCTGTTTTAGCTCAAAACTATCCTAACTGAACCCTGTTTCTCTTAGTTATTCTGGAATTTCCGCGTGGAACATATATAGTCTACAAACCTGAAACTTAAATATGCATTACTGACATCTTGCAAGTATTCAATGTATATTCCAATTAAAGTATTTTGAAAAAAATAAAATAAAATAGGAAATTTTGAAGTGTCCGCGATTGTTTTTTCATGTTTAAAATTGTTAGTATCATATTTATGAGTACAGGGTGTCTTAAAAGGTCTTAGCCAAGACTAACATGCTTGTTTGTCATACCATAACAAACAAGATTTACATAGGAACTCGTGTCCGAAAGTGCGAACGGCGACCGCTAGAGGGCAATGTTCGCAGGCGTAGAAGGGCAAAAAGAAAGGATGCGGTAAGAGGTTTTAATATGACTTTTATTAAAGAACATGGTTAAATCATAGAAGATGTTTGAAATTCCATTCGCCAAATTGCATGCTTCACACCATCGACGCAGGTATTCACGGAACCGATTCAAAATGAACTGATGTGTCACGGACAAGGGCTGCTGCTTCCACGATCCTGGCGATGAGATCCATGTCCGATGTTACGGTCATCTCGTACACGATGGACTTTATGTATCCTCACAGGCAGAAATCCAGGGAAGCCAGATCGGGAGATCGCGGAGCCATGCGGCTGGTCCGTCTCTGCCAGTCCAGGGATCAGGATATGTCCCGTCGAGGTGTTCTCGCACAGTTCTGCTAAAATGTACATGCGTTTCATCTTACTGAAACGAGATGTTTCGTTTCGACATCTACTCCCGTACCACAAGTTCTCTGTGCCCTAATGATTAACGTTTCAATTAACACCGATGCGTGGCGTAAGTACGCCCTGGGGAGGTGTTCATCTCAAGACGGTTAGTGTGAAGGAGCGACATTAGTTCTGGCAATGGCGATGTGTTGGTTCCCACACTTAGTCCTGTCCTGTCCTGGAACGTCAACCTTCAGATCCGGCAACACTGTTTCCATAAAATGTCCATAAAGAACAGTTTTGTTAAACCGATTCATCCTTCTCTTGCAACGCCCTCCCCCGAAATGATCACATTTCCCACTCTGCCATAATTCTGCAAGATTTGCCCTTTAGCCCTCGCCATTCGCATTTTCGGACACAAGTTCATATGTAAATCTTGTTTGGCATGGCATGACAGACTAGCATGTTAAGCTTATCAACGACCTTTTGAGACCGCCTGTTTATATAAAAGCTCTGTTATGAAGGCTTTTAGTGGCTTGGTAGTTCGACCCAATATTGAATCTCGTTAAAGGCTAGCTTTTCGTTTTTTTCCCCTCGTGAGTTACGTGAGTACAAACCAGTTTTCCTTAAAAAATCCTCAATGAGGCATTTCTTTACGTAGATATCCCTCGTGAGTTTTGGCACAATCTATTAAATTGTGCCATTATTAATGTATCAGTTGCTCAGAAAATCAAATTGCTATATCCCATACAAAGGAACTTCAAAACATTCCATTCAAACAGCCATTTCTGCTCGCGGAAAAAAAATAGGTATGGGTGGGAATTTTTAATTTACCAATTGCGTTATTTCCTCCTGAAATCTGTATTTATGAATTATCCGAACTTCTTTATGCAACTCTGTCATTTCAGTGTGTGTAGGGGGGATTTTAATATCCGTTCGTTATATTATCAAATTCTCGACTTACTTGAAAAAATATGCCTTAATCAGTTCATCGATATGTAAAATGTAGTAAATCTATTCCGCTTGTTTAAACCCCTATTGATTGAAATACTGCTTTTAAGATAAATTTGAACACAGAATAGCTGAAAGGATTAGATATTGATAAATTGGAATTCCATTTACAAAATAATGGCAAAATGAAATGAATGAACAGTTACTGTTAATATTTTTCTATTCAACTAACCTTCGAAAATCGCCAGGTGCCTCTACGATTGTTTCTGCCTGATTGCTTACTTGTTTTATGATTAAAAAAACTAACTGTAAACCCTTATAATTTTACTCTTTTTAAAGCAACCCAAGAAATAGTTTTAATTGCTATGTCTTAAAGAAAGATTTGGATGTAAAAAGCATAGACTCCAACTACTACGGATTCTCCGTAGTTTCTACGGAAATTCATGAAAAACTACGAGCTACGAAAAGTATGGAAAAAACTACGGATTTTACAGAAACAAGAGTAGGAGAACCAGTAACGCAAAACGGAACCAACTAATCTCATCCGATGATTGGCTGAATACTCGTGTTATCATATATCACGTGTTGAGCAACCGTTAACTCACTTTTCAAGAATTAGCCAATCGTAGATCAGTAACTCCAACCGTTAACGACTTATCAATAGTTCCACCCAATTGTCTGTCTCCCAGGGCTTCTTCCTCGCTGATGCGTGTTTAGGCTGCTATTGTTGTAGATTACGGCGAGAGCGTAGCGTGTGTCTTTAGAATCTGTGAATTCAGGTGGAAAGTTTTTTTTAATCATTAATGCTGCCTCGAACAAAGAAGCCTAAAATTATCAAAAGCAGAGAAGTTTAAAGATTCATATTCTTCAGAATTTCCATGCATTAAAGCATTCCGAAATTTCTGTGAATCACGCACACTGCAGTGTATATGCAACAAAGACTTCTCAGTTGCTCATGGCAGAAAAGATGACTGTAAACGGCATGTTGCTTTTCTCAAAAGCATATAGAACTTGGCACCTGTAAAATCTAAAGAAATAACAAATTTCTTAATTAAAAGACTGATGAAACATGATCCTATAAAAGCCGAATGCCATTTTGTTCGATTTTTAAGTTGAACATAATCTACCGCTTCTCTATTTCGGATTCATTCCAAAGAGCTTTTCAAAGCAATGTTTCCGGATTCTGCCATAGCAAAAAAATTTAGCTGCGGTCATACCAAAACTGCTGCTATTGTGAAAACGCTTGCAGAAAATACTGTTGCTGATATTATAAAATCAGTGTGCAGTACATCATTTTCTCTAAGTACTGATGGAAGTAATGATAACAAACTTTACCCATTGGTTATAACATACTACAGTAAAGAAAAGGGAGTGATAATTACTTCATTGATTTCTATTTTAGAATGCACGAATAATACAGGAGAAGGTATTTTTAATTGTATAAATGAAAACTTTAAAAACAAAGGTTTAGAATGGAAAAATTGCTTATCATTTTCTTCAGATAATGCTAGTAATATGATTGGAAAGTTTAAAGGTGTAGCATCATTTATCGAAATGCATCAACCAAGTATAATCACCCGAGGTTGTCCGTGCCACCTCTTGCATATAGCTGCTAAAAAAGCTACTGAAAAATTAATTGGCTCAGAAATTGAAATGTTGATAATAGATATATATTTTACTTGGAGAAAAGTTCGAAACGGAAGCATAGCTTCAAAGTTGCTCAACAATTTTGGGACAGAATGCAAAATCTCATAAAATTTTGAAATATTGCAGTACGAGATGGTTGTCTCTTTTAGAATCTATAACAAGGATTTTGGAACAGTGGGGATGCTGTGATAAATTTTTTTGGAGAAACCAGATAACATGAGAATGAAGAAAAGAGATTGCAAAACATTAAAAAATTTTACAGTCACCGACCACCAAATTGTACTTGTTATTTTGAAAATACTTTGCCTTTGTTTATAACAGTAAATGTTAATTTGCAACAACAAGCTCCTTATATACATAAATTGAGAAGAGAACTTTTGAACTTTTAATGAATTTATTTGTTAGATTCGTAAAACCATCAGTAATTTCTAAAGAAAATGAAGATGTTACTCTAACGTCTATTCCATTTCAGAAGTATAGTAAACAAAAGAAAATGAAAATTTAGTGATTGGTGCGGAACAAGACTATATTTAAAAAATGCCAAGTTGAATGAAAGTGAAGTGAATCATTTTTCAATTCTGTGCGAGCTTTTTTTGTAACTGCGCATGTTCATATATAATTGATAAATTTCCACTGAGTGATCCATTTCTAAAACATGCTGAAGTTGCTGACATCAACTTGAGAACTGAAGTCTCATTTTCATCTGTTCTTTACTTGATGAATACTTTTCCATCCATTATTGATGAAAAATGTCTTAATCAAGTAGAAATTGAATTTTCCATGTATCAAGTAGATGATTTGAAAGAAATTGTAGATTTGCGTATTGATATAGCATGGGGAGAAATTGCGAAATTAAAAAATATGAATGGGTGTATTAAATACAAAGTATTGCCTTCTGTAATGCTTGCTGTCTTAATAATACCTCATTCAAATGCAGCTTGCGAAAGAATTTTTTCTATTGTTAAAAAAAAAAAATCAGACGGAATTTCGACCAAATTTAGGTCTTAAAACACTTGAAGCAGTCTTGATTGAAAAAATAAATATGCAGGCAAATGAAGAACTGTGTTATAAAAAAACATTCTCAAAATCAGAACTTAAGCTTGCTAAGCATGCTACATATACGAGTAAATCTTTGCATTCATAAATTATGCGTATTTTGTTTAATACTTATATGTATCATTCTTGGTTATTTAAATTTTATTTCCCTGTAGAAATCATATCCAGAATAAAGATATGATTTATAGCTTCTGATTTTTTCTATGATTAGTAGTGATTTGAAGTACTTTTTATTAGTGAATGCTTGAGGAGTTAAAAGAAAATTTCTAATTAAATGTGCATATAATTTACAAGGTATATTTTTAATTATTCAGTTTTATATGTATATGGATTTTAAATGTAATAAAATTGATTACAATTAATTATTAATTTAAAATTAATGAATGGTTAATTACAACATACGCTACGCGCACATTTTCAAAGTTGTAAAAATGTCGTTCGCGCGTTGACTACTGACAAGGTTTGCTGAAGGTTGGAGTCTATGAAAAAGCGAGAAAGAAAGTCATTGAATTGCATATGATGAAACTTAACACCAAATAAGGAACAAAATCCAAATTAATTAAAATTATTAATTAACTTAATAACTTCTAGAGTCTTATATGTTTTGGTAACATAATCTCATGGGCTGTAGAAAGACTGTAGAGGAATCATCCTCGTGTCTTTAACTGTAGGTAGACAAAGTCAGAAGAAGCGTGTAAATAGCCTTATTATTTGATCACAAAGAATTTAATACTTGACTCCACTTGGGTTTACATAAGCCAACACTTCCGACTTAACTTTAAAAAGGTATTGTTGAATTTAAAATACAATATATTTAAACTAGCCTAACGACTCACACGATAAAGTAAACGCGCAGGAAGGCTCTGGCTCGTAGAAGCTGGCGGGACAAGCCTAATGGCTAGAAGCACTCAACGCCACAGAATCTAATCGCTATTAAGTCACGGTAACGTGGCCTCAAACAGGCAGAACACGCTCTAAATTCAACTTGCGCTCCTTTAATCTGGATAAACG